TCTTTCATAGTCTCTGATTCTCTGATGTAAGTCTTTTAATTACAAATTGTGTTGCTTTTCCATTTCATTGATTTGATTGTACTTAATTTTTTTTTTGAGCACTGTAAATTATAGATTTATAGTTCACGACTTTATCATGGTTTTGCTTTTTTGTTATTTTGTTTGTCCTCTTTTGCAAATTGTGTTGCTTTTTTGTTTCTTTATAACTGGAAAAGGGTATGTGTCTTCTCCATTACGGTATCTATGGTATGATATTAGTTAATTAAGTGACTATAGTTATGAAACTGTACTACTCTTTCCACTTTCTTGTCTTTGTTCTTATTTTAGTTCAGTTATAAACAGCAATCTTCGTAATGTTTTTACTTCTCAGTCTTCTCGTCTAAAAAAATCAATTTTATTATTATAATCAGTGTGTCTCATTTTTGTCAATTGTGTAGATAATGACATCAAATTCTGAAGAAACGAATAAGAGATCAAATTTGCAGAGAAGATCAAATGATGTTGGTTGGGAATTTGGAGTGTTGATAAATCCCAACAATTTGGACAAAGTGAAATGCAAGCTGTGTGGGAAAGAGTTTTCAGGAGGAGTACACAGATTGAAACAACATGTTGCGAGAGTGCAAGGAAGCTGTGGCTTCTTGTCCGAACTCAAAAAATGAAGAGCAAGAGAAATGTATGCAAGCACTTACGGAAGCAAAAAACAAAAAGAAACGAGCCCATATGAACGACGCGGAGGTTCGGAGCTCAGTGAATATTTCAGAGAAAAGGGACGAAGAAGAAGAAGTAATTGAAGTAGAAGGTATGGGAGTGAAGAAAATGCCTCGCATGTTTGGTCCTATGGATAGATATACTTCTAGCATCAATCTGGAATCTCCCCAAGGTCCAACATTGACACAACACCAACAACATATCAAGAATGTAATTGCAAAAGAGAAATTGCATGTGGTCCATCAATATATTTTGAGGTGGGTATATAATGCTGGAATTCCTTTTAACGCCATTGCAAATGATGATTTTTAGAGAATGCTCGAGGCTGCTGGACAATTTGGACCGGGTGTTACTCCACCTAGTCAATATCAGCTGAGGGAGCCTTTGTTAAGGGAAGAGGTCGCTAGAGTGAATAACTTGATGAAAGTACAAGAAGATGAGTGGAAGGTGAGTGGCTGCTCTATAATGACAGATTCTTGGTCGGACAGAAAAAGAAGAAGCATCATGAATCTGTGTATCAACTGCAAGGAAGGTACAACGTTTCTCTCCTCTAAAGATTGTTTTGATGATGCTCATACAGACCAGTATATTTTTGAGTATGTCAATGAGTGCATTGAGAAAGTGGGTGGAGATCATGTAGTTCAAGTGGTAACAGACAATGTCACTAATAACATGGCTGCTGCAAAATTGTTAAAGGAGGTGAGACCAACCATATTTTGGACATCTTGTGCAACTCATACAATAAATCTGATGGTAGAAGGCATAGCTAAACTTCCTTTGTTTGAGACTACCATCAACAAGGCTAAGGCTTTTACCATTTTTATTTATGCCCGTCATAAGACACTATCCATGATGAGGAAGTTTACAAAGAGAATAGATATTATTGTACGACCTGGAATAACGAGATTTGCGTCGGCCTTTCTTATGTTGCAAAGTTTGATGGAGAAGAAAGAAAAATTAAAGATGATATTTGCTAGCAACGAATGGGGAGAAAGTAAATGGGCAAAGCATCCTAAAGGACTTGCAGCTTACAATACAACTTGTAATATGGAATTTTGGGATGGTGTGGGAATGTGTCTGAAAGTCTTTGCACACTTGGTTAGAGTACTTAGATTAGTTGATGGAGATCTGAAGCCTACGATAGGGTTTCTGCATGGAGAGTTAGAAGAAGCAAAGAAAGAGATATGCAAAGCTCTAAACAATCTTGAGAAGAACTACAAACCGATACTTAGTATCATTGATCAGAAGGGTAATGGTCGTCTTGATAGTCCTCTTCATTGGATGGCATATCTCTTGAATCCTTATTATTTTTATTAAGGATTCAACTATCCAATTCAACAGAGATGTCATTAGTGCTACTTTTAAGTGTGTTGATGCTTTTTTTCCAAATGATCTTATACTCAAACCTTTGTTATCAACACTGAGCTTGCAACATACACAAAAAAGAGGGAAACTTTGGACATCCAACAGCCATTAAAGGATGTTCCAAAAATGATGAGAATTATGATCCAGGTCTATTTGCTTAGAACTTACTCGTTTTTTAATCTTTTTCAATATATGATTATTAATCAAATGTTTTTCTTTATAGTTCAATGGTGGAATTTCTATGGAGTTGAAGTTCCAAAGCTACAAACAATGGCAATAAAGATTTTGTCCTTGACGACTAGTTCATCCGGATGTGAACGGAATTGGAGTACTTTTTGAAGGGGTATTTATTTTAAACTAAATAAACACTTTCTTTCATGAATAAACAAATGTTGTAGATTTGTGTCTTATTTTTAAATTTTGATGTAGGTACACACCAAGAAACAAAACAGACTTGATACAAAACGGCTGAACAATCTTGTTTATATCCAATTCAACATGAGATTATTGGCAAAACGAAAGAAACATAAAGAAAAGAAAGTGGACAGTCTATTGGCAGATAATGCTCTTCATGCTCAAGGTTGGATTGTTAAAGAAGCTGAAGTGGAACTAGGAGACACGTGGGAAACTATAGGAGACGATGATGGTGTTGTTAGGGAGCTTGACGAGTCTGATTTTGATTCTGATGATGAGGAAGAAGTTGATGTGGAATTTGAATCAGATGATGAGCAAATTTTAGAGGAGATCTGGTGAAAGCTCAAAAGAACGGTGATTAAAATCATCATTAGAGATTCAGAATTTTTTTTTTAGTATCAGAGATTTAGAATTTTTTTATTTTTTAAAACTTAAATTATTGGTTTTATTTTATGTTTATGTTTTATAGTTTATGTTTTTTTAACTTTTTTCTATTCAATATTCATAGACCATTTGTTTAAACTGTCTATTTTATTATATTATATTACATGATTAGATTATTTCATTAGGTAATATTATATGATTAAATTATATCATTATTGTTCTGTTATAAAACCGCCTAGACCGTTTAAAATCGCCTAGGCACCGATTAAGCAGTTTCGACGCTAGGCAGAGGATCGCTGCCCGCCTAGCGCCTCGAACACTGATAAATACTCTTTTAATCCCTTTTTCTCCATCACAATCTCTCTCCCTCTTCTTCATCTTCTTGTCGATTCTCTTCCGTGAATCTTAGTCGTCTTGCAAGATATTTTACCGGCAAACCTTAGGTAACCATGTGACAATCTACATATCAATTTAAAGCCCAAAGTCTTAACTTTCTGAAAAGCTTAATTTCGTCCTGATAGAATATCGGTGTCAGAAACTATCCATGTTTTTGTGTTGGGAATCAGATCTGTCCAAAACATAATTTTTTTTTTGGGCAGATCTGATTACCGATACGAAAACATAGATAACTTCTAGCACCGGTTTACGATCTGGACAAACTTAATCTTTTCAAAAAACTAAAACTCTAGGCTTCAGATTGATATGTAGATCGTCATGTAGTTTCTCACAGCTTGCTAGTAAAATATTTTGCAAGACGGCGGTTAGGGTTTGCGGAAGAGACACGGTGAGGAAGAACAAGAAGGAGAAATCGTGAGATGGAGGGTAAAAGAGTGTTTTGGTGCTAGGGTTTAGATTAGAGGGATTAGGTATTTAGGCTTGGTTTAGTTTTGATTAGGAATTGAATTTAAGAAAAAGAGAATCGAAGTTCCGGTTATTTCATTATGTAATTTTGAATCTCTATATATACATATTTACATACTATATGGATGATGTGTCAATTCCGAATTCCATGAATCTACATGTTGTCGAGTTTTTTTGTCGTACATGTATTTTGTCTTTTGTAAGACAGGACATTGAACTCGTATTAGTTCAATAATTACATTTGTTAGAAATTGAGATTTGGTTGGACCACCTTACCTTATCCATTCCTCTTATTTGCCCAGGAACCATACTTATTAATATAAATATTTTTGATCAACCAAAATGTGTTGCCTCTTTTAATGCCCCCCCACATTCAAACAAAATCTAGCGGTCATGCATATAATTTTATATACTATAATTAATACACCGAAATTCAACTTACGGAGAATTCTCAAAAAAGATCAACCTACAATTTATCCAATGGCGATCACAACTCAAAAGCATAGGATTTTTTTTTTGTCTTAAATACGTGTAGTATTGTTCTATTTTGTTATGTGTACATGTATTTTTTGTTTAACAGCCCTATAAATTGCTACATATATAATGTAAACCTAATAGATTGCTTAACGAAATAGATAAATAAATGTTGATTAAGGTCGCATATATATATATATATATATTTATTTATAAGATACTTGTGATTTTTCTATTGTTACTGTGTCTAAAACATTTGTTTAGAATTGGAATGAGTTACTTCATGAATTGGTAATGCATTTCTCTTGATGGGCATGCCCATGCAAGCTGGAATAGATAGAGATCAAAGAGACAGACCGTTAGGTCACAGTCACACGTGATTAAGGTACGAGGGAAATGACACCAATGTACAATGAGTGACCATTCCCATGCCAGCTTGTTACTCCCATCCTTATTTTGTCCACTTTCTCATTCCCAAGAAATAGGCTATTTGTTGAAAAAAATAACCAAACAAGTGAACTCAAGTGATTAGCTAAAATAAAAGGTTGCAATATCACCTAAAACATCATTCAGTGATAACAACCAGTCACTGTTTTCTTATAAGTACATTTTATAAAAAATAAAAACCATTAATTTTTATGAAGAGCATGGATATAAGAAAAACTATTTTTTAAGTTTGAAAATCTTTGTGTTCATCTATTTCGTAAATTTTCAAACTTACAAAATAGTTTTGTTATATCCATTTTTTCAAACTATTTTTTTATCATTTATAAAATGTACTTATACGAAAAAACTAGAAAAATCTCATTCGATTCTTTCTGCATTGGATATAGATACGACTTTCTGATGTACTATCCCATTTCTTACGTAAAATAGATAGTTCAAATCCCACCTTAACTTTACAAATTTCATTGAATTAAAATTTTTAGCTTTCTTATTATTAATTTGTTTATTATATTCCACTCGATGTAGGATTCAGTCAACAGACATATTATACATGGAAATGATGGATTATCAAGTTTCTATCTTGATAATATTTTCATTTTATTGTAGATAAAAATGGATAAATATAAATATAAAAACTAGAAGGCACCCAAAACAAAAACTAAAAAGAAAAAGAACAAAAAAGGGGGCTCGAGGTTTTTGATGCCTTGATGGCTGAAGCAGAAGAGCTGGCAACAGCTCTCGACTCAGTACACTCCCCCACACACTCTTTCTTGTTATCTTTCTTTGGACAGCTTTCATTTTCTCATTTTCCCTAAAAATAAATTCTTTTCTTTTTAGGTTCACAGGAAAACAGCAAATAAATCATAATGGAGTATGTCGACAAAAAACAAATCATAAATGGAGTATATAAATTATTCAAAATCACATCTAAAACCAATTATAAATAAAATATATCGGGTCCATTGATAACCACATGTAAATAAGCGGCTATAGATTTTTAAGTGATTGTAAAGAAGATGGTTAGAAAAAAAAACAGCTAGAATTAACTGATGGAGAAAGTAACTGGTAACATTATAATTTATAAGAGTCGAAAATATACTTTTATGGCAAATCAAATAAAATAAACGGTAACAATAAACACAATTTCCGAGTATAAACAAAAGACGAAGACAAAAAGCAAAAAACCTTGGATAACTACTTATGATGGCAACTAGTTCTACACTTACACATTTTTTTTTATGTTTCCTCTAAAATCACTTGAAAATCAAAATACTAAATTCAGTTTACTTCGCAAAAATCTTGTCCAAATCACTTTCAAATCTTTTTAAAGATAATTTTTTTAAGAACTATTAGCTAATTATAGATAAAGATGAATAAGAGTTTGTGTTTTAACTTAAGAGATAAAAGAAAGATGGTAGAGAGAACAAAACTTTTCTTTGTACTTATATTTTGTGTTTCTTGTTGATGTACATTCTCTTTATTACAACCATCTATTTGTAGATGAAGAGTTAGAATAAAATCAAGACATGTAATGGTAATTAGAATATCACCTTTTTCTAATACAAAGATTAGTGTCCAATGACAAGTGTCCAAGAAAATGTAGGAAGATGATAAGTAATAATGTGATGGATAATCACACTTTTTCTTAACACTTCCCCTTGAGTATCCATCACCATTGATGTGTTGCATGTTGCCTCATTAAAACCTTATCATGGAAAAATTCATTTGGGACAAGAACCATGAAAATGAAAAAGAGTACAACCATGCAACTTTCCCTAGATATAGTCTTCCTTTTATAGATATTGTAGACGTTGCATTCCAATGCTGTGAACATGTTTTCTGAATGTTGTAGTAGGAAGTGCCTTCGTAAAAAGATCTGCAGCATTGTCACTTGAACGAATGTATTGAATGTCCACTTTTTTATTTTTCTCGAGCTCTTGAGTGTAGGAGAAAAATCTTGGAGGGATGTGTTTTGTTCTATCACTTTTGATGTAGCCTTCCTTGAGTTGAACAATACATGCAGAATTATCTTCAAATAATTTTGTTGGCTCCTTATTCATATGATTATTCCACTTGCTTCTTGTATGTGATGAATCATAGATCTGAGCCATACACACTCTCTACATGCTTCATGAAGTGCAATAGTTTCTGCATAATTTGAGAAAGTGGCGACCAGTGTCTGCTTTTGAGAACGCCAAGAGATTGCAGTACCTCCAAATGTAAAAACATATCCGGTTTGCGATCGAGCTTTATGTGGATCTGATAAAAAACCTGCATCGGCAAAACCAACTAAACCAAATTTGGAGTTTTTTAGGATAAAACAATCCCATATCAATTGTCCCTTGAAGATAACGGAAAATATGTTTATTCCATTCCAATGTCTACGTATAGGGGACGAACTATATCTAGCAAGTAGATTTGTAGCGAATGCTATGTCCGGTCGGGTACAATTCGCAAGATACATAAGTCCGCCAATAGCGTTCATATAAGGTACTTCAGGACCTAATATTTCTTCGTTATCTTCACAAGGTCGGAATGGATCTTTTTCTGTATCGAGAGATCGATTAACCATTGGAGTACTCAAAGGAGTCGCTTTATCCATACAAAAGCGTTTTAATATCCTTTTAGTGTAATTTGATTGATGTATGAATACTCCATCTCGAAAATGCTCTATTTGTAATCCAAGACAAAACTTTGTCTTTCCGAGATCTTTCATTTTAAACTCTTCTTTCATATGATCTTGCTTCTTCAATATCCTTTTGAGTTCCAATTATGTTCAAGTCATCAACATAAACAGCAATGATCACAAATCCAAACAATGATTTCTTAATAAACACACAAGGGCATATTGCATTGTTAATATATCATTTACTCCACAAGTATTCACTTAGGCGATTATACCACATTCGTCCGGACTGTTTTAATCCATAAAGTGATCTTTGTAACTTGACTGAACATATTTCTTTTGTTTTGGAACTTAATGCTTCAGGCATTTTCAATCCTTCAAGGATTTTCATATAAATATCATTATCAAGTGATCCATATAGATATGCTGTCACAACATCCATAAGGTACATTTCTAGATTTTTAGATGCTTCAAGACTCATTAAAAATCTGAATGTTATTGCATCCATGACCGGAGAATAAGTTTCTTCATAATCAATTCACAGTCTTTGAGAAAATCCTTGAGCGACAAGTCGGGCTTTATATCTTGTCACCTCATTTTTCTCATTTCTTTTTCTTAAAAAAACTCATTTGTACCCAACCGGTTGTACATCTTTATGACAATAGGTCCTAAAAACATTTCTTTTATTGAGGGAGATTAATTCAGTTTTTATGGCCATTTTCCACTTCTCACAATCAGATCTTTTCTGGCATTCCAATATGGACCTTGGATCTGGATCATTACTTTATATTCAATTTCTTTAGATACAGAGAATGAGAAAATTCTATCATTATCTTCTATATCATTTCTATCCCATAATTTTCCATTTTGGGCATAGTTGATGAAAATTTCATAATTTTCTTTGCCATTTTCGTTTTCAAGACTTTTCTCTGTATGTGGTTCTTCTGGACATTTATCATTTTGTTCTCCCATTTTCTTTTTATTCCGGGGGTTTTTATCTTTTGATCCCATTGGCCTCCCCCTTTTTAACTGAACTTTGGGTTCATTTGCTATTTTTCCATCATTTTGTTATTTCGGAACATCAATTCTTGATGGAATATTTGCGGCGGAGATATATGATTTTGTCACCCTTCTTGTATGAGTGAATGTATCTGGTAACTGATTTGCCATCTTTTGTAAATCTACAATTTTTTAAACTTCAAGTTCACATTGTTTGGTAGGAGAATCAAGGTACAATAAAGATGGTGTATACCATGTAACATCTTTTGGAACTTCTTTAATTCCTCCCCCTAACGCTGGAAATTCATTTTCATCAAAATGGCAATCGGCAAAACGTGCCATAAACATGTCACCAGTTTGTGGTTCAAGGTATCGAATAATACTTGGTGATGTATAACCAACATATATTCCCAATCTTCTTTGCGGCTCCGTTTTTGTTCTTTGCGGTGGGACTATAGGAACATAAACCGCACATCCAAAAACACGAAGGTGTGATACATTTGGCTCTTGGCCAAATGCTAATTGTATTGGGAAATATTTATTATAAGAACTTGGTCTTATCTGAAGCAATGCCGCTGCATGCAATATAGCATGACCCCATACTTGGGAGTTTTGTTCTCAATATTAATGGTCTTGCAATCAATTGCAATCACTTAATCAAAGACTCAGCCATGCCATTTTGTGTGTGAACATGCGCAACAAGATGTTCAACATCAATTCCCAATGACATACAATAATCATTAAAAACTTGGGAAGTGATCACCAGCGTTATCAAGTCTTACTTTCTTTATTGCAAAATCAGGGAATTGTGCTCGCAACTTAATTATTTGGGCAATGAATTTTGCGAAAGTCATATTTCTTGTGGTCAAAAGACACACATGTGACCATCTACTGGATGCGTCAATTAATACCATAAAATATTGAAATAGCCCGCATGGGGGGGGGTGAATAGGTCCACATATATCACCATGTATTCTTTTCCAGAATAGTGGAGATTCATTCCCGATTTTGGCTGGCGATGGTCGAGTTATAAGTTTTCCTTGAGAACAAAAATTACATATAAATTCTCTCAGTTGAAAAATCTTCTGGTTTTTCAATGGATGGCCATTAGAGTTTTCCACAATTTTCCGCATCATGACTGAACTAGGGTGCCCTAATCGTTCATGCCAGATTTTGAATGTACTTGTAAATTTCGGGTTTACCGTAACATATGATTCAGTCATATTTATCTTTGTGGAATATATTCCGGAGGATAATGCTGGTAATACTTCCAATACGACTTTTCTCTCTGAATAACTGATGTAATGCAAAGATATTCAATGCCATTTTTATTCATAGTTTCTGTATGATATCCATTTCTGCGGATATCTCTGAAACTTAACAAATTTCTATAAGACTTTGGGGAATATAATGTCATTTATCTCAAATTTAGTTCCTCTTGGCATTGAAAAACTAACTCTTCCGGAGCCCATAATAATTTTTGCATTACCGGATATTGTATTCACGCTTCCAGCGGAATCTTTCATTTTAAGAGAGGAAAAATATATTTTATCCTTAAGTATTGTGTGCGTTGTAGCTCTGTCTGCTAGACATATATCTCCATCCTCGATCTCAAATTTTTCCATTTCTGAATCTAAAATATAAAGATGTATTATCAAAACAAAAACAAAAGATTTATTTTATAAAACTATTTTACGAACAGAAAAATACATATAAACATTAGATTTTATTTTCTTAAACATAGCTATTTATCATGTCATTTTTTTCTTTTTTCCAGAAGATCTTAGTTATTTTGCTTTTTGTTGATATCTTCAGGATCAACCATAAAATCTGCAATATCGAGATGTGTATCACTTATACCATCGAAAGAAGGCCCGGGTTCACCATGGATGAAGTTAGCTTCACCTTCTTTTCCTTTGGTCTTTTGCGATTCTTGATATAGATCGGCCAAATGTTTTGGTGTACGACAGCTACGGAACCAATGTCCTTTCATGTCACATCTATAGCAAGTAGTATTATCATACTGCTTATTCATTTCTTGGCCATCTTCATTTCTTTGAATTTTATTATTCTTTTCATTGGTGAAGTCATTGGAGTGGGACCTTTTACCACGTCCATGTCCACGTCCATATCCACGTCCACGTCCATATCCATATCCTCGTCCACGACCTCGATTGTAACCACGGCCGCGTCCACGTCCTTGTTGCCAATTATTATCATTTGATGATGCAAAATTCACTTCTGGGAGTGGAGCTGATCCAGTTGGACGAGATTGATGGTTTAACATCACGAGTTCCTTATTTTGTTCTGCTACCAGGAGAACTTGCATTAACTCAGAATACTTCTTGTATCCTTTTGCCCGGTTTTGTTGCTGCAAGATTACATTTTCAGGATGAAATGTTTGAAGAGTTTTTTCGATCATATCGAAATCACTTACTTCAGTTCCACATAACATCATTTTGGAAGTGATTCCAAACAGAGCGGAATCATATTCACCAATGCTCTTGTAATCTTGAAACCGGAGGTTCAACCACTCATGCCTAGCCTTTGGTAATATCACATACTTCTGGTGATCAAACCTATCTTAGAGTGATTGCCAAAGATCTGCGGGATCTTCTTTCGTGATATATTCATATTTAAACCATCATGGATATGGTGGAATAAAAATATCATGGCCTTTGCCTTTTTTTCTTCCGAAGTTGTTTCCGACTTATCGATGGTATCAAAGAGCTGCATTCCTTTTAAATGCATCTTTGCAGCCACTGCCCATCTCATATAATTATTTTCTGATATATCAAGGGCAGTGATCTCGAGCTTTGCCAAATTTGACATGATAACTAAATCCATATAAAAAAATTATAACTTTATTAATATTTTAATTTAAAATTCTGATTTAAAAAAACATGATAAAAACTTTAAAATTTTGTAAACATAATAATAACAGAATTTAAAATAGGAGGCAAGCCTTCTATATAGATTATGATAATAAGCAAAAGATAAGAAAGAGCAATAATTTAAAATATATGATATTTGTCTTTGGAACAAACTATATTTTATGGAGCCATGATCTGGGGAGACATCTACCATATAATCATGAACCAACTATATATATATATATATATATATAGAAAATAGAGTATGTCATATACTTGAATATGAATGTAAACATATTGAACAAAAAAAAAAGCTTACCTCTTTGGTATAGGAACGGTTCGTGCTGATAACGTTTTAAGGACTATTAGCTAATTATAGATAAAGATGAATAAGAATTTGTGTTCTAACTTAAGAGATAAAAGAAAGATGGTAGTGGGAACAAAGCTTTTCTTTGTACTTATATTTTGTGTTTCTTGTTGATGTACATTCTCTTTATTACAACAATCTATTTATAGATGAAGAGTTAGAACAAAATCAAGACATGTGTAATGGTGATTAGGATATCACCTTTTTTCTAATACAAAGATTAGTGTTCAACTACTTTGACAAGTGTCCAAAGAATGTAGAAAAATGATAAGTGATAATGTGATGGATAATCACACTTTTTCTTAACAAAATTTTAGTTATTGCTCAATAGTTTATCAGTTTTTCTATTCTTGAAACTAAGCCAAAATCCTATGTTTATTTCTATTTACAATTTTGGCCCTTATGATTCAAACGACAACAATATGATGAACTATGGATAAAAGTAACTTACAAACTCTTTTTAAACAAAATATTTGGTAAATGTTAAATAAATATATAGTTCCCAAGGCTACTTCTTCTACAGCTATAAATTCATGATTTCGCACCCCCTTCTAAAACCATCTTAAACCAAAAACACAGCTCTCATCTTCTTTACTAAACACACACTCCTCAGCTTTCATTTCTGCCCTCCAAACCCAAATGGGTCGAAGGTCAAGCCTCACCACCACCGTCGTGGCGGCTGTTCTGCTGGTAACGATGTTCGGTTCAGCCTACTCAGGCAACTTCTTCGACGAGTTCGACCTCACGTGGGGTGACCACCGTGGCAAAATCTTCAACGGAGGAAACATGCTGTCTCTGTCTCTTGACCGGGTTTCCGGGTCGGGTTTCAAATCCAAGAAAGAGTATTTGTTCGGAAGGATCGATATGCAGCTCAAACTCGTCGCCGGAAACTCGGCCGGCACCGTCACAGCTTACTACGTACGTTCTCAAACTTAAACTCACACTTAAAAAACTATGAAAACAGAGTATTTTTTGCTAAATCTTGTCTATACAATTTTGCAGTTGTCATCACAAGGAGCAACACATGATGAGATAGATTTCGAGTTTCTTGGGAATGAGACAGGTAAGCCTTATGTTCTTCACACCAATGTCTTTGCTCAAGGGAAAGGCAACAGAGAACAACAGTTTTATCTCTGGTTTGATCCAACCAAGAACTTCCACACTTACTCAATTGTCTGGAGACCTCAACACATCATGTAAAGATTCATCTATCTCTCATAGAATTGTGTTTCTAAATTGAATGGTCAACGAAAGATCTTGACTTTGTCTGTCTCTGCAGATTCTTGGTGGATAATTTGCCTATTAGAGTGTTCAACAATGCAGAGAAGCTTGGTGTTCCTTTCCCAAAGAGCCAACCAATGAGAATCTACTCGAGTCTATGGAATGCAGACGATTGGGCTACGAGAGGTGGTCTAGTGAAAACCGACTGGTCCAAGGCTCCTTTCACAGCTTACTACAGAGGATTCAAGGCCGCGGCTTGCACCGTATCTTCAGGCTGTGATCCCAAGTTCAAGAGTTCCTTCACTGATGGTAAATTTCAGGTGGCAAATGAGCTCAATGCTTATGGCAGGAGGAGACTTAGATGGGTGCAGAGATACTTCATGATCTATGATTATTGTTCTGATCTCAAAAGGTTCCCTCGTGGATTCCCTCCTGAGTGCAAGCGGTCCAGAGTCTGATGAAAAAACACATATGATTCTGTGGTTTCTTGATGCAATTTCTTCTCTGTAATTTTTAAGATTGGTTTCTTTTCTCTGTTGTTCTTTCATTGTACATTCTCAAGGTCAATAAAGCTCTGTCCTCTCCTTTTATAAACAACCGAATCAAGAAAAATCATTTAAAATTATAGACACAAATTAAGATCACAAACTAAACATCTCTTGTCATATGCAACTTGCTAAGAGATCGATCACACATGGACTCCGGAGGTTTGGTTTTGATGTCAAAAGAGGCAGGTTGATTTTGGCTAACTAAATGATATAAATATGTTTTTTTTTAAATGATCTAAATATGATCACATGTATAAACACAATTTGATTCAAACTATATGCTTTTGAAAAGGACAAAGAAAGAGAACTATCAATAAGTCTACTAGGATCCTAATTACATCTAATGTTTTGTGCTTTGGAGATCAATTGTTCGGTTCATATATAATCTAGAAGTCGTTATAGTTCTTTGACAGACAAGTGACAACTTCAATTACATAACTAAAGCTTCTTTCATAGCCCTTGTCCCAGGTTTGTTCAATGTAGCTAATCTATTTTCTGCTTGGCTCTAAGAAAGCTGTACAATACCTTCTTTTTTGTATTTATCTAAGATACAAGAATCATTGCCTGAATGTTCAGCTGCATTTTGTATTTAGCTACTTGTGTTTCTCTGCTAACAAGTATCATAGCTGTTGGGAAACTTGGAATGGCTTTCTTTGTGTTGCTCAAAAACTGTGGTATCTAGAAATGTTTGTGTGGCTCTTGGAGTAGATAATGACATGAAAATAAGATTGGTGGTGTCTAAAAGTCACTAAATATTCAGACATTTGCTGTACATATAGAGCAAGTAAATGCAAAAAAAAAAAAAAAGGACATGTATCCATTCACAATCTCATTTACAATCAAACAACACTTTATATCATTTTTTACTTTCTATTATCCTTAGTCACTAACTGGTTGGTTCACGTTCAGCAGAAGGAAGAAAAGATACAATACCACAGTACATAAGAATCACAGATCACAAAGATAACTTAATTCTTACATAGACAAACATAGGTACTGTATGATGATTTTTGGAATCAATTTAAGTAATATAACTGAGTTTTCCAACCAAAACTAGAAAAAAGTAAAAGCTTGTGCACCCACCTGAAGAGTGAAGAGCAACTAAATGAGCCTTCTCCTTGGAGATATATCCTCAGGCTCATCTTGCTGCTCAAGAAATGAAATTTTATCTTCTTGGCGTTTCCGGTTGCCACCGTCAACGGCCATGACAAAACCACCGCCGCTGCTTTTGCCGCCGCCTTTCTGTCTTCTCAGATAAAGAAAGCACAAGAGCTTCTAAACTAATGGGCCCGAAAGCTCACACTTTTACTATCTAGGCCCATTCATTTAAATGTGTATCCTTGTTCGTTATAGTGAAATTACGATTAACCCATAGTTGTGTCGTCGTCGTCTTTTTTGCAGCCGCAGTATCTTTTCCTGCGTGCCACCTGTTCGACAAATTGTCTGAACCAATTTCTACAAGTCTCTTATAGTGTTCTTCGATAAAGTTTGGATTTTTTTTTGGGAATCTCGGCACTATTTCATTCGAATAGCTTGTGGATTTTTGGTTTAAATCCCAAGTAATGGCTAATGGGAACAACAAGAAAAGAGATGGTGGTTTATCGTCGCATGCACCTCGAGAAATCAGCGTCCACAAATTCGCCGAGGCTCGAGCAGCTGAGCTCGAATCTCTTCACTCGATTGTGTCTGATCGTTTGAACAAGGACTTTAGGTCGAAGAGGAACAAGAGGAGAAGGACCAATTCTTACACTAACCAACCTTCAAAGAGACGTAACATAAAGAGACAAAAGTCAGAGTCATTATTATCGATTGGTCAATCATCAGAACATGAGACAAAGATCACAAGACGAGTTAAGAGGAGAATTGAACTCAAAGGGAACCCTGAATCGGGGTTTTGTACCTCTGGGGATGGAACAAAGAGGCTTAGGACACATGTTTGGCATGCTAAACGGTTTTCTATGACTAAGCTTTGGGGTTTCCACCTTCCTCTTGGTTTACATGGAAGGTAATTTCAAGTTTTGCAGTGTTAGTTGCCTCTTAGTAGGAAAAAGTTGGCGCCTTTGTTAATCTAAGGTTTTTGTGTAATGGTTTTAGAGGAAGGGGATCTAGGAATATCTTGAAGAAGTCTAGGCAAGGTGTTCTTGTGCATGATGCAAGCTATCACATTGGTGTGCAATTAGAGGGTCCAGAGGCAGGCATTCACCTTATTCTTGAGATTCTTCTTAAAATTTCGTTCTTGTAATTTAATCTTTGTCATGATGTTGTTTGGCTTTGAATTTCTCAGGGCTCACTCTTGTCGATATTAAACTTGCTACTGGAGCCTTCTCCGTCGTCTCATTCCAAGGAAGTTTTTGACTCTATTCTCACAGGGCTTAGTTATGGGAACGCCATGGTATAGTGAATCTATGTAGTTGACTTATTAAAAATTACTGGGAACGGCAATTTCATGAGGATGTAATCTTAGCTGTTTTGTTTTCTTCAGCTTTATCATGTCGAACCACCAGTTTCTCAGGCGATTGCTCCTGTAATATATATGTGGAGACCTTCTCAGTTACCTAAGAGAAGAGACGAGGGGAAAGAGGGTGACTGCGTAGGAAATGATGCTCCAGTCTCAAATGGAGATCATGTAGACTTTCGAAAACTTTGGGTGTGGATCCATGCTTCTTCCTTCAGTGAGGGATATGATTCTCTTAAACTAGCTTGTCAAAAACAGGTAGTTATGTTTTCTTTCATTGAGTTTATTTTTACGTGTCTCTAGCTGATAATTGTCGTTAGTAATTTGCTTTACATATTCTTGTGGAGATATTGATGCCTGAAGTTTCTTCATTCAGATGAATGAGACAGGTGTCTTAGTTGATTGCTTTTCACTCGAGGGTCAGCTTGCAAAACTTGAGATTTTTGGTCCAAAAGCATCTAATCTTCTTAAAAAAACCCTACATCCTGTTACAAGGTGAGCCATCTGAGTGGATATATAATGGTTTTGCAAGAACGCAAATGAACAAAGGAAGATTTATCTCAATGTTTTTTTGATTTTTTTTTTGTCTTGCAGAAGCTCAGAGACTATTTTAAGAGAGTGTTCAACAGAAAAAGCTGAAGTTAAGAACGTTTGTGATCCTTACAAAGAGGAGAACATATCATCTTGTGCTATTTTAGCTCGGGTTGTCATGGATCCGCGGTTAATCCCGAATTACTCACGTGATGATACTACAGTGTCAGTTGAAATGACCAAAACTGAGCCTACTGAGTCAACTGAAATGACAAACAACACAGATGCTGAAGAAAGTCTTCCTGAAGTTTTCAAGTGCTTGTGGGATGCAAATAGTGAACTGTCCCCTCCAGAAGAAGAGAGCATGTTGTGTTGGGAAAAGCATCAAAGTCGTATGAATTCTCTTTGCCTCAATGATCTAGCTGCTGAGGTTCCGAAGGTATCTAGTAGGCCAAGGAGTTCGAGGTCTTGTCCTTTACTGCTTCTCAAACATAAAAAACTTGGGAGTTCACCTACTGGGTAATCTGCACTTTAGTTGAATCGTACTGTTCTGTTCTTTAGAATTAAGGTCCTTAATGATCCACAATTAATCATTATTATTCTCTTTCAGATGGTCTCTTATACTTCCCCTTAGTTGGATCAAAGTCTTCTGGAATGCCTTCGTCTCAAATGGAGCTCAGGCAATAGGTCAGAGGGAGAAACGCTGGGTTTCTTGTGATGTATATTTCTCCTCTCTGAAACTTTAATCCATTGGTGTTAAGATTCTCTCGCTATGTAAACTTACTAAATCGTAGATTTGAAAAACGTCTGAAAAACTTATAATTTTTTTGCAGGCTGGTTTCCCCTTTTTCCCATCAGATTTTCCTGACTGCAAAGCATATTCATCTTTAACAATGAGCGAAGCTGCAGAATTGGAGGAGAAGGCACAAAGGCGCCCTCCTGCCATAAGACCGTTCAGAATTCCCATTCCACCTCCATGGAATAGTATCCATGCCACGCGTTCTATTGGAGAGAGTTCCAATCAAAAGCTTACAAGCGATGGGACGACTGGAGTGGAGATTTTCAGTTATGGTGGTAATCTATTTGATGGTATCGTGGCAAGAACATCAGATTCGCTGACTACTTTTCTCAAAACTTTCACAAGCGACAACTTACTTTTATTTCCTCACAACACTTCGAAACCACACACAAACCTTATGAATACTCTTCATGAAGATGAAACAAAAGCAAGAGCTCAGATCCACCAGAGCGGTAATAAACTGTGCCTTGTCAGAGTTCTTCTACATGCTTTCAAGGAAGGTTCTTTTGAAGAAGGCGCAGTTGTATGTGCACCATCTCTTGCAGATATATCAGTACTAAAATCCGGGTAACATCTCCAAGAAATCATGTTGAACAAATGAATCACTTGAAACTATTTCACTTTGGGATGATATTGAGGGTGTATTTCTTTATGTTTCACAGCTGTAGTGAAGGAGAAGAAGGGCGTGTTACAATCCCTCAATCTTCTGTAAGTTCTTACTTCCAAGAACAACCTTCTGGAACCTGGGAACTAAATGTCCCTGAAGACACTCTTACAAAGCAATCTCATAGATGGCCAATCGGGTTTGTAACAACAGGATTTGTCCGTGGAAGGTAATAACAAAAAAAAAAAGGAAAAACCCAGAAAAATCTTGGTTGAAATTCATCAGAGGCTGATTTGGTTTCTGAGCACTTAAACTTGTCTTAATGTGCAGTAAAAAGCCGACGGCGGAAGCTCTGTGTGATGCATTGTTGTTAGGGAGACTAAGAGAAGAGCAATGGAGAGGGAAAGATGTGAAACGGAGGAAGAAGGAGATTTATGTTTTGGTTAGAAGCCTAGGATCTTGTGCTTATAGACTCGCACTTGCTACTATTGTTTTGGAGCAACAAGACTCTAGTGATGATGTCCACTGCTTCTGAAATACATTTTTAAATCCACCAGCAGTCCATCACTGTTGTTTCGTTTGTATCAGTTATTTTTATTTATCTTAATCAATATATTTTAATTCTTTATTATTATCAAATCAAGTTTTGTTTGAATTTGGAAAAATCAATGGGATTATACATGTTGGGGATACCAATGGACATGTTCTTGATCAGGTCGGTTTCATGCAGTTGTATCTTCTGTTTTCTTTCTTGATCAGGTTGGTTTCACATACCTGTTGCATTCTTTGTAAGAGATATATGAGTGATCCTTTGCATCTGCTTTATTGTTGACTAAATGTAAAGCTTTATAATTTTCAAGGTTCAGGAAACAAGATGCTTTTGAAAATATCTGATGTACATATCCAGAGATGCCAGGTCAAGTTCTGTAGATGCAAAAGACCAATCAGTATTATCATTGTTTTTTCCACAATCTCTAATTCCTCGTATTCTCTTGCAGGGATGAATATCTGTCAGGAGTTGAAGCCTTGCCTGGTTAGTTAAAGACGTTTTGATACAGATACTTCCATCGAAGCTGATGAGATTCTTCCAAAGAAAGTTGGACGGCTGAGATTAAAATATCGGCATCTCATCAATCCTCTATAACTAGAGCCTGATGAGCTAGCAGATGATTTGGTCGATGGTGGGGATGGTTTTGCATCCATAGCTCCATCTTGATTACGGTTTCTGAACCTGTAATAGATACTGTTAAAGAAACTAGAAGAAAACTTGCTACAATATTGTCATATTAGTATTCTTGTATAAGAATGAGAATGGAAAAGCATCTACTACTTCAAAGTTGCATGTAGAGTCATACCTTGCCTATGATTTCTCTAATTGCCTTCGCAAGTTGGTCCTGATTCAGGTTTTTCTCCAAGAAGGCGTCCATTCCAGCTTGTATGGTTTCTCTTGCTTCCCTCGAACCAGGATCATGACCGGATACAGCTATGATCGGTATATGTACACCATATTTTCGCTCCACTTTCCTAATCTTTCTTGTTGCTTCATATCCATCCATTTCTGGCATCTGTGCAGGAAGCAGAAAGATATGTATTAAGGGTGGAACGTTTGCCATTGCGTTTGGAAGACTTTATCAATAAATTACCTGGCAGTCCATGAATATGTAGTCAAAGGGAAGCATTTCTGTTACACCTTGTTGCTCTCTTTGCGTGAGCCATTCACTGACTAATCTCACAGCTTCTTTCCCACTGTTACATTGTTTTACCTCAGACACTCCCATCTTCTTCAGTTTTCTTGTTGCAAGTAAAGATGTTGTACGATCATCATCGACCACTAGAACTCTCTTTCCGTTCAAGAACTCATCGTCACTCCCCTTGGAAGCTCCTTTCTTGTCCTCTGGTTTCACAGTAAGCTTTTGACCAGTACACATTGACTTGACCCAAGCCTCCCCCTCTAAAGGTGTTGATGCTTCTTTTGGCTCAGTTCCTCCAAATTCAGGCAACATCTTCAGCACTCGGTTAAGACGTGATCCGTGCAAGGGTTTCGAACAACTAATGTCACCTCTCTCACTTCCCCGGCCACTAGGTTCGTTAAGCCAAACAACTTTAAAGGATATGCCATGGTGCAAGCCTCTACGAAACTGTTCGACAATCTCGTACATCTCAGGAAATGGTCCGGTTTTTGCGTCAATCACCAGAAGGAAAACTGCGGAGAAACTGTAGCTTCTTGCTTTAGGAACTTGGCTTTCGGAATCAACACCATTCTTGCCAATCAAAGGTAAATCCCTCGAGCTCGAACTAGATGATTCGTTTCTCAAACTACACTCTGCTCTTCCCATTGAACTCTGTGGTGAAAAGCCAAAAAGCCTCTCCAATGCATGATTCAAATGCTCCCATCTTTTCACCACTGTGACTTTGATTCCCAAGCTCCTTATATGTTTCTCTGTAACTTTTCTACGTTCTTCATCTTTCAGAAGAAGAACCACTCGAGACCTTTCTTGCTTTGGACTCAAGCTTAGCCAGTTGTTGAATCTAGGGCTCATGTTCCGTATGTTGATGCTACCTCCCAGTGAAGTTCTTATAATCAGTCCGAGGTTTGGCGTCGATATGTGATCTGATCCTGCTTCGATGTCCTGTCTCACTCTCATGTCACTCACTGGAGACTCTAAGGTTGTCAATAAAACATTGAATTGGAAACATGTTCCCTTCTCTCCAATGGCCTTGTCTGTGATTCTTATCTCACCTCCCATCAATCTTACCTAGAAAATAGAAAAGAAAAGAAGCGTTTAAGATGCATTCCCTTGTGAAGAGATAATCAGTGCTCATACTTTGCTTACCAGAGACTGCACAATCCCAAGTCCTAATCCAGTTCCTTGTTGTCCTTGAGCTGTTTCTCTTACCTGAACATAGTTCTCAAATACCGATTTACGCATCTCCATTGGTATCCCTTTACCTGTATCGTCCACTTCGAACACAAACTCCATTGTGTTCGCGTTGTTTCTTATGGAACTCGACATTTCCATCTCATAGCTTGATGACTGGTCTTTGTTCTTGCAGAACATACACTTTGAAAACTTTGATAAACCTCCTTTAGTGTCCGATACCAGGACCACAGAGCTCGTAGAGCCAGGTCTCTGAGCCCAAGCTCGGACCGAAATGTGCCCTTCGGATGTGAACTTGACCGCATTGCTTACAAGATTGTTCAGTATCTGCTTGAGTTTACCACTATCCCCTCGCACATTCGAGAACTTGAACACAGAGCCATTGAGCGTATCCAAAACCACATCAACCCCTTTCTTCATCGCTACAGGATGGAAAAAATCGACGACGTCTTCAAGAAGCTTGGCAAGGTTGAACTCTTCTTCCTCTAAATGCATCTTCCCGCTTTCGATTTTGCTTGTGTCCAATAAAGTGTTAAGCAAAGCTGTGATTAAACAACATGACAAGACTTTCTTTTAGGGACTAAAGCATTAAGAGAGAAAGCCTCGAGAAATCAGAGTCTGAAGACGAAAATCTTACCAACTAGATCGTTGGCGCATACATTGACTTGCTTAAGACTAGTGTCTAGCCCTGAGCCAAGTCTAACTTCTTCACGGCATAGATCAATTAGACCGGTGATGCCTGCAAGGGATCCTCTAATATCATGGCTAGCTCTTGCAAACGCTTGACTCTTGTTCATGCTCTTCCTCTCAGCTTGTTGTGTTGCTTCCATTTGGTTAATCAACGTTGCACGCATATGCATCTCTCTTCTTGATGTATGCACCATAAACGCTACAAACCCTAGAGGCCAGCACAAGCCCAAAAACATCGTCGCAATAAGGAGATATAGCGATGCGTTTTCGATGCTTGGTCGTCTTCTTTTGTTGGGAAACATAAGTGTGTATCTCTAATAACAAAGACCATTGGAAGAAGCAAGGAAACATAGTGATGAATCTATTCCATCAAGTGAAAAAAAAAAATGTCTTAAAAGATGATATAACATTTACCAGAGGCACACCGGAAACTTCAAGAACAGAGCAAAAAACTTCAAATTTCGATCTTTCGATCTCCACCAAGCAGCTTCGGGAACTGCAATTTCCGGATTTCAACGATTCTTCACCGAAGTAAGTCGAGCCATTAGAGATGAAGAAAGAAGCATTTAGTGAACCTTGACGAACAAGTAACGTCCCGTCTTTAGTCCACATGTAAAGCTCTCCGCCTTTTAGTTTCAAACGTTTCAAAACACCGGTTAACGTCTTTACTGGAAACCCTAATAAAACAACACCTTTCTTGCTGTACAAGCTAACCACGTTCTGAAACAGTTTCTCGTTATCTTCTCCTCCCAAACCAGTTCTCACAAAGGCGGTGGTGTAATTTCTCTGTGCTGCTTGGAACCAGTCTGTGTTGGTTACATCTGACGGCTGAGATTTCGTTGCATCCCCTTTGAGACGACCGGTTATCTGATCAACGGTTTGAGTGTACCAAGTGTAGTCTCCACCACCATCACTTGAATTGGCAAAAACAGCGACATTTGTGTTTGATTCTGTTATGTAAGAAAACAAGAGGCCGTCCGTACTAATGTAGGAAACTTGTGAGACTTGAGGGATCATCGAATAAGCTTGAAACAAGACCGGTGCAATCTGAAAAGACGACAAGAATTGAAGATTATAGTTCTGTAATAACTCAAAAGTTAATCACAAAGATCATGAATTGATGTAATTAACTTTTAAAAAAAACCTGTGTTTGAATCGCTGTGAAATCACTAGTGTTCTTGGTGAGATAAGAATCTATAACTCTAGCTAAACCGATAGTAAGTGAATCTGTCTTTGGATAGGTAAATTTTCCGATTTTTTCAATCTGGGAAACTAAACTTGATCGGAGATCTTGAGTGAACAAAGCGACGTCCATTGTTGTGTTCTTCGTTGTTCTATGCCAAATCATGATCGGTATGGTCCCGGAAACAATCACCAGAAATACCTAAATTTATCCATTTAAAATGCGTTGAGAAAAAAATTATGTACATCTACAACCAAAAAACAAGGGTAGTTCTAACGGAATTTCTGACTTAATTCTGAGGGTTTTATAATTTGTCAAAAATCCATCAGAAATTGGTCAGAAAGCAGTGGACGGATTTCAGACAGTATGTAACAAACAATTGAATGATTATTAAAAAGAAAATAAATATTACCATGAGGAAGAAGACGAAAATTGGACGAGAAGTTATAGACTTTGTAACTTTCACCATCAGCTCTGAAAATTTTATAGATCCACAAAACAAAAACATGTTTATATGTATTATACATAGCTACATAACCAAAAACCATTTTTATGCTAGCTAATGGTTTGTAATTACCTGAGAATGTAGCAACCATATCTTTGGCTTCTTGGGTCTAATCGTAAACCCTGAAAAGTTTCGGACTAATCCTCCAAGCGGCAAAAGCAATTTCTTTCAAGATTTTAGCCAAACAAGAAGGGAAAATTCACAAAGCATTACGTTCATAATTCTTCTTAGCAAATTTGTATTTTCAATCGAAGTAGAAAAAAAGTAACAATTAAAATCCGCACGAATTCAAAGAACACACAGCTCAAAAACCATCTCCAATTAGCTAAATCTCAATCATTTTACGTGTAGATAAATATGTATTATTTATGGCAAATCACAAATTGATTTGCTGCGCAGGTCCACAAAAATCAAATTTGGGAGGGATATGCACTGTATTAATTAAGGTTTTTGAGTTATGATCAAATCCTTTAAGTACAAATCCATTGCATATCATAGAAATTAATATATTTCTATATTTGATCTCCTCTATTCTAAATATCGAATTCGTTAATTTAGGCATTTAATAGCTTTTGGAAATGAAATATTTTAGGCACAATACTTAATGAGATGAATAAAAGAAAAAGAAAAAATGCTGAAACAAAACACTAATCTCTCACGGATTCCGTGAAGGGGAAGCAACAATGTTGTTTTTGATTTTCGATCTCTCTTCAACAAATGTTTTTAAAATGGAATGAAAACGAAGATCTTGACTTTCTTTCTTCATTTCTCTACAGATTCTTGGTGGACAATTTTCCTATTAGAGTGTTCAACAATACAGACCAGCTTGGTGTTCTTTTCCAAAAGAACCACCTATGAGGATCTACTCACGCGGTCTGGTATAAACTGATTGCTCCAAGGCTTTTTCATTCAACCCTCCAGCTTGCACCGTCTCTTTAGGCTGTGACACCAAATCCAAGACTTTTTTTAGTGATGGTTTATTGCAGAATGGAAAACGAACTCAATGCTTATGGCACGAGGAAGACTCAGGTTGGTGCAGAAATACTTCATAGTATATAAGTGTGGAGATGATAACTTGATGCTCAAGCTTGTATGAATCGGTCAAACAAGGACAATAAAGACTCACTATAGGTGATATAAGTTAAACCATGCATGGCTGAGTTGCTTTTGGGACCACATTCATGGGAAACGGCTACTGCCTAAAACAACAAGGCAACGGTCTCCATTTTCGCCATAAGGACACTTTTATTGTTTGTGCCCAAAAGAGAAAGATCACGTTTGGTTGAAGCAGAAGCGCTATAAGAAAGCATCTTGGCGTTCCAACTTCCAGTGAGGTGTTCTTGGCGATTTTCTTTACACAATAATGTGTCATCACTATAAAAAGGAACTTCGTGGAGAGAGAGAGAGAGAGAGAGAGAGAGAGAGAGAGAGAGAGAGAGAGAGAGAGAGAGAGAGAGAGAGAGAGAGAGAGAGAGGAGTGTCATCTGTGAAACTTGCAGGAGATTAGAGAGATAAATAGAGGACAGAAGTTAAAGCATAACCTTTGTTCATAGTTTTCTTTGTACAAGAAGCCCAATGGCTTTATAATTTGGTAAAGTGTGAATGAGAAATGGAGCATATTAGATTTGAATTTGGGCTTAAATTTGTTAATTAGACTTTGTGTCTATTTCTTAGACCAAAAATCATGTTGATCTTTCGTGTTAAACACAAGAAAACAAATTTATTGAGATATCAAAATATCTTCTACATTTACTCTTATGGTCAAACAATGGAATTGATTTTCCATTATGGAATTTATGTGAGGTTAATGGCTCCATTATAACTTGATTTTCAGTTTCATGTTCGAGGATATAAACCATGTATATGTCTTCCTCAATTGAGCTATCTCTAGCTTTCATGCACTTTCTCTTCTTTACACAGAGAAAAAATTCACACAACACAATAATATTTATGTTGCTTTAGTCATCTTTCAAAAAGTAAATCTGAGAGTATATCGTAGAACGATTAGTTCGTCGATTTTATAATTGAGTGTTGCGATTATAGTTTTAAGTTGTATCTTGAGATTCGTTATCTCATAAACCACTACACCGCAGGAGATATTTCTGATCAAGAAAAGAGTCATACTCGCCTTTACTTCTCGTATTTTCCTTAATAGTATTTTCAAAACGTTTTTTATCTGAAAATCTTCTCTATTTAATTTTGCAATATTTGTTTCCATATTTTACACCTACAAATCTCTCTCTGATTCTAGTGGATTCAGATGTGAATCTTGGGGAGACATAGCGACCATCAGGGCGTGAACTCGTTAAACTCACAAACCTTCTTCTTCTCAAAATGGTACTCTGTTTTTACCCTGCTTTATGAGCATCTCTGTTTTCTCGGGCACAACTTTCTCAGATCTTGGATGGGTCAGTCTTATCCCAAGAAAAGTTGACACTTTTGGGGTTAAAAGACTTATCAATTAGTATTGCTCTGATCTCAAAAGGTTCCTTCGAGTCCAAGAAGTCCATATTCTGATTGAAGACATGTTATCCCATGTGATTTTGTGCTTGGTTGCTGCATTTCTCCTTTCATGTTTTGAAGATTGGTTTTCTTCTTTGTTATTCTTCTTTTTGTTCAAACTTTGTTATTGTTCGAATTTATCAAGGTTAATAATGCTCTTTCCTGCTTTCAAAACATAAACAACTCAATCAAACCACTTAAGTTAAAGTCACAAAGATCACAAACAACCATGATTATTAGTAACACTAAGTCTTGTCATTTATGATACTTTTTAAGAGACTGATCACACGGTAGATGTGCTTTAATCAGAGTCAGAAAAATTTGATCATGAACCTTCAAAATCAACTATCGTTATATAAATGGAGGTGAAAAACAAATGTTCCTACGAAGTCAAACTCAGAAGCACTACTTTGATACATATTCTCCTATCTCCATGTTAAGAATGAAGATCGTTAATTCTCACTTCACTCTTAATCTCTCACAATCGCTGTAAACTTCCTTTATTGAATGAAAAGAGAATTACACTTCAAATCTGTAGCTAAACGAAGATATCGGATATGAATCCTATCATCTTCTCTCTCACGATCTCAAATCGCCTCAAGCCAAAGGCTCCACACTCCAGATTCAAAATACAAGTCTAAGAGCCAAATGAAAAGACTCAACAACCTTTTAAACAAACAAACTCATTCCAGAAAATATCTTCTTCCTTCACCAGCTCAGCAAAAGTCAAACTAGCTCTTCCACGTCAGCTCCATCTTTGACTAATGCTTGTTCTGTTTTCTTCTTCTTCTTCTTATATATGTAACGTTGTTGTAGCTTATCAATACCCCCTTCTTTGAGAATAAGCTTGTCCTCAAGCTTGTAGTCTGGAAATTGGGATTTGAACTCTTTGAATAATACCCACGAATTGTCATGAGAAGGAAGACCGCGCCATTGGATAAGCAACTCCAACGCACCGGACTCATTGTATCGTGTGTCGATAATCTCCTCTGGTTCAATCACCACATCAACCAACTCAGAAGAAGTAAGAGGAAGTTCAGAGACCTGATGATGTTGTCCCAAAACTGCCTTCAATTGTGACACGTGAAAGACCGGATGGATTTGTGAGCCTTGAGGTAGTTGTAAACGATAAGCAGCTTTACCGATACGCTCCAAAATCTCATACGGTCCGAAATATTTGGCCGATAACTTCTGGCAAACTCGCCTTGCCACTGACTGTTGTCGATATGGGCGTAGCTTCAAATATACCATAGATCCCACTTCAAATTCCACATCTCTACGCTTCTTATCCGCATTGTTTTTCATCAGCTGTTGTGCGTGTAGTAAATGTCTCTTGTACTGTGCTAGAATATCATCTCGAGTTTTCAACATTTCCTCTAACTCGAATTTGTAGTAGAGCCCGATTTAAACCTCACAATCCCTGGTGGATCCCTTCCATAGACCATTTTGAATGGTGTTGTCTTCAGAGAAGTGTGATAAGACGTGTTATACCAATACTCAGCCCAGCTCAAAAACTTAAACCAGGTGCGTGGGTGTGAGGAGGCAAAGCATCGTAAATATGTTTCTAAGCATCGGTTGATGACTTCCGTTTGGCCATCAGTCTGCGAATAAAATGCCGTGCTGTATTTCAGTTTCGTCTCAGCCAACCTAAACAGCTCTTTCCAGAACGAGCTCAGGAAAACTTTGTCTCTATCTGACACAATCGAGTTGGGAAACCCGTGTAATCTGACTATTTCACTGATGAATTTTCGAGCCACATCAGAAGCTGTGAAAGGGTGTTTAAGGCCAACGAAATGTGCTGCCTTACTAAGACGATCCACCACGACAAAAATGACATTGTAACCTTGTGAAGTCGGGAGTTCTTCAATGAAATCCATGGATAATTCTTCCCATATCATATTTGGAATTGGTAAGGGTTGTAAAAGCCCTGCCGGAGACAATGTCGAGTATTTGTGTGTTTGGCACACTTGACATTCGGCCACATACTTCTGCACTGACTTCAATAACCCTTCCCAGTGAAACATCTGTTGCACTCGTTTCATTGTCTTCAGAACTCCCGAATGTCCTCCCAAATATCCATCATGACATTCGAAAAGGATGAGTGGTATAAAACGAGACGTCTTCGGAATCACCAGTCGTTGTTTATACCACAAAGTGTCCTGAAGAACTTTATAACCTGACTGCAACATCTTTCCATCCTTCAACTCTCTAATCATTTGTTGTATATCTGTGTCACCTGCAATCTCTGCATACAACTCAGACAACAATGTTGAGTGTAACTCAGTCTGTGTTTGATTCCTTCGTGACAAGCCATCTGCAGCCTTATTTTCGATCCCAGGCTTGTACAAAATATCGAATTTGTATCCCAAAAGTTTAGTCAGCCATTTCTGATTTTCCATATTCACCTCACGCTGTTCAAGAAGGAACTTCAAACTTTTCTGATCCGTGTGAACCAAAAATTT